GTGTTCTAGAGGGGTAATAGGGTACTATGAGCTCTTCAAGATAAGAAGGGGCCTGACCATGAAGAGCTTTATAGGTGAGGAGGAGAATTTTAAATTCTATTCTAAATTTTATAGAATATATATAGGCAGTATGAGAAAAATAATGTGTTTCTCTCATTATTAGTGAAATTTTTAACCAGGCCTGACCACTTTGCCAAATAAAATTGACTGGGGCAAAAATGCAGTTGAAGTGCTGAAAAATAATAATAAACATAACAAAAACAATAGGGACCTTCCAGCAGGTCGCTGGCTCGGTCCCTAATGAATCATATTGTTATAATAAACATGTGGGATGAGACTAAGGATAATGTGATTGACATTGTTATTTTCTTTCCAGAGTTCCTTCAGCTAACAAAGCCCTCCGTGGCTTCTGCTTACTTCTCTGCATGAAGCAGACAAATAATGACCAGCATACAGAATGGTGTTCATTCAAGTTCCAGGAGGAAGTAAACCCATCAAATGTCATGTTTTCAGCTACCATATGAAATTGTTACTGACCTGCTGTGTTCAATAATGTTTTTAAGTAGAATTTCAACTTATGTGCTAAATGTCTCCATGTCTACTTTCTAATTTCTTGTTTAAGTAAATGCTGTTAAACCTTTCTGTACGGTGGATTGCAGCAATCATGGTGAATATGTCTTTAAATTAAAATGACCATTTTTTTTCTAATACAGTATATTAAATTTGCCATATTAAGTGTTTATTTTGTGTTTTTGTTTTATGTTGTATTGTATTTAAGTAAGCCTTTAATAAATAGCTATTCCATGCTCATTGGTGTTCATTCTCGATAAATATCTGCTGAGATTTATTATTATTATTTTAAAAATGTGTAAGTAAATATTGGTTGTGTTCAATGTTTGTCTACTTTACGATTTAATTCGATTTAAAAGAGTTATTTAATGCTACAATTCAAAAAGACTTAAAATCCAACAATCAGACTTGCAGGCTTTAACTGTAACTTTAAACTTAACAAGCTATATTCACAGAGCTTTCACTCTCTGAAAAAACAGCCCTGTTCTGCATTAAAAAAGTTTAAACATCCAAGAAAAAAAATTCTTCCAAATTTCTCATTTTACACAAACTTCCTGCAGTTATTGTGTTCAGTGTTTGGGTTTATTGTACAGTTTATCAGTTTTTCTGTACTGTTATTATTAAGAATTGAATATAATATGAAATATAGTTAAAATATGTATGTCACTCAATGATAGAAAAGGGCTCCCTTAAAGAAAAGGTTGGGAACCATTACATGTCTTTAAATTTAAACAATCATGAAATGCAAACTGCATGATAATGGAGGGGGAAAAAATTGTGATATAGTCACACAGGTAAATGGAATAAGTACAATTTAAAAGATAACTACTCCAATCATAAGTAGTCATTTAAAGAGTTGGATATAGAAATATGTTTTTGTTTAAATGCTAATTTAATTAATCAGTTTATAGTTGCTTCTTTTGATATATCAATTCATGATTGATTACAATTAAACATGGAAAAGTCTGTAATTACGCCAATGGTATACTCCAGTCTCCACATGGCAGGTCAACAGAAGAAGTTAGCATCACACAGATTGACACCTTGATGGTTTATTTGACGTGTTCTGTAAGTTCTTTTAAGGACTGTAGCATTTCTTACATCTATAAGAGACTGTTTGAGAAGTCTTCTGAACAGTGACAGTCATCTTAGGACTCTCTTGGGTGTGGGCGGCGGCGGGGTTCAGGAAAAGGCCAGGGGCAAATGGGGTGGAGAGCTGGGTCAGCATTAGTCATCATTCTATGGCAGGAATGGAAGTGTCGGAAGGGGTGGTGGGAACTGAAGGGGTGCTTATGGTGCTGTCTTTCCTGGCTATCTTGATTGTCACTATGGGGAGGGTGTCCTCTATCGCCAGCATGGGGAGGGGACCCATGACTATGGGGACGGGATCC